CACTAATTAAAGGAAATGTAGCCTTCAGCGTCAAATTCACGAACACATAAGTGTAAAAGTTGAGATTCGCCAAACAATTCTACCATTTTTGGAAAGAAAAAACTCGTGGATTTCAATTTTGCTCCCATATTTGTACAAAATCGCTCCTGAAAGCAGATATAGTTGTTGATGTGGTGCCAATGTAGCGAAAAAGTACTTTTCGGCGGTAAACGGGGAAAAATTCTCAACCTGGCCATTGTTTAAGTGGTGAACGTATTTAACAGCTCTAGTAATCGCTGAATAGAGTGGATCTTCTAGTTTATGACAAGAACGTACTGCATGGAATTTCAAAATTTAACGGGTGGAGTTTTGAACATAGCTTTTTGCGTACTTGCTTCTACATATTGATAAGACATTCGTTCTTCGATTTTACTACTAAGAATGAATCCACTTATTTTCCTGTACAAGCTTAGAGCTCTTCATGAACTAACGGCTCTCTTGTTTCGCCAAGGTGTCAGTCTGCAACGTTGTGAAGCGAATTAGGTTTCTCAGAAAGCCTGCAACAACCACCGTTGCAAAGACCGATTAACTGGGTGGTAGGAACGATTGGTATGGGCGTGGAAGAGAAGTTTCTGCTGTTACCGAATATTGAGGTAAAGTACGTGCGAAGCTGCGATTGTTTCCTTACGCAAACACCCCAACGGTTGTCTTAAGTGTTAGCGATCATGTGCACTTCTTGGCAAGTAATCGTCAAAAGACATCCCGCAGCAAGGTCCGTAAGCGTGGTGATGCCTAGCTGTCCAATGAGGCGAGGCTGGAAAAGTGGAGCTGGACGGAGGCAGGCTTCAGTCCTGTATTGCCGACTTTTTTCACTTATGGGAAAGTATTCACATTTGACCTTGATTAGGTGAAGCAAAGAAGCTGCATTCCAAGCATGCCAAAGCTTATCATCTCATACACCATCGAATCTGGAAACAGAAAGTTTTTGCGGTGATCACACCGAAATTCACCACACCTTCGAGTGCTGTTTCACAACGCATAAAAAACAGAAGAGTAGGGATTATCTCGAGTTTTTTTTATACTAAAATAATCCCTTCAACCAAGGCAATTTTTAGAAGCAATCACAACATCATTGAACGTTTCTGTTGAAACAAGCACACGATGAAATTCGAGCGAACTCGCCAGCCGAGCTGCCCAGAAATCATTGCTTTTGGAAATTAGCCACTTAGATTTCCTCACTCAATCTATCAAGTGTGGAGATGATGGGTATTTGCTGATGACACAATGAAAAGTGAATTTATTCAAGAAACTGCTTCATAATGCCTGAAACGCAATAAAGGCAATCAACACGCCACGGCAGGGTCAACCCTACGTTGTTACGAGTAACAATGGGGGGGGGTCGTACTCTCTCGGTGGCCGGCAGTGGGATTCTTCGGATAATAGCCAGCACGTTACGTTTTCGTAAGATGACTGATACTAGAGCATCTATAAACCACGCTTCCCTCTAAATGAGCTTTCAAATGAATCAGCGAATTAGAAGGGCGCCCGAGGCGTGGCGCGCACCAAGGCAAGGGATGTAGTGCAAGCGCATGCTCGAAGCTTTCTAGCACATCCTAAGTTAAACATGACATTGGTCTTCCAAGAAGTTACGGGCAGTGAAACCTAAGAAAACCCGCGTTTTTCGGGAAAATGGCTTGAAGAATACCCCTCAAAAAAAGTAACAACGGGACTAATTTTTGAACTGCTGACTTTTCAGGAACGTTTGGGTGCTCGTTAGAAAGCTTGAATCCTGTAGTTTGTCATACCGTGTTCAGCTTCCCAAATGAATGACTTTGAAGGAAGTTATGATCGTTTGAAGGTAAAAAAGTCGCGGTTCCAAAAAATAGTAACGCAAACCCCCAAAAAAGTAACAACGGGACTAATTTTTGAACTACTGATCTTTCAGGAACGCTTGGGTGCTCGTTAGAAAGCTTGAATCCTGTAGTTTATTATACGTGTTCAGCTTCCCAAATGAATGACTTTGAAGGAAGTTATGATCGTTTGAAGGTAAAAAGTCGCGGTTGCACAGAAATAGTAA